CACTGCCTATTGGTAAAAACCCCACACTATCTTCATGCTGAAAGACATGCCTTCTTTTTCAGTAGACTGCAAATGTTCCATTCTTATAGGAGGAAGAAGGGTGGATGCCAGAGCAGCTTCTCCTTTCCTAGAGTTATAGAGCTGAATCTTAACAAGATTTCAAGGTCTGCTTACAAGAAATGCTGGCCTGAGTGGCTTCAGATGTTCTAAACAAGAGAAAGTGAGAAGGAGCGAACTGTCCTTTCTGCACGCTTATTAAGGCTATCCCAAGCTGAGACCGTCTCCCTCCATAAAGGACTGTGCTTATAGCATTTCCACATCTGTAGCACACACATCTCCCCATGGAAATACAACACTTCGGCTTTGGACAACGAATGTGGGCAGCAGCATCTGAAGTCACCGAAACTCTGGCTTATACCATAAATTAGCAACTGGCTTCAATACTCCTCAGATCTACAACACTGATATTGATCTCTGGAATCCACATCAATTCTTTTGTTTCCACACGTAGATCTAAATCCAGCATTTAGAGACCTGGGGATGGTGTAAATTAATTTCCTATTCCTAGCAGTTTCCCTATAAGCAGGGGAGAAGAACCTCAGTTTCTGGGCCTCCCTCCCTTTAGCCCTCAGGACTCTCCTCAAGCTAAACCCCTCACTGGTCCAGTTTTGCATCTTCGTCAAGTGCTTTTGCCTGGTTGGAAATGTGTCAACCTGTGACAATGTGCCTTGTGTAACAGCACAGATAGATGGGGGGGGTAGAGAGTCCTCTGGCTTTTGTCCAGCTGGAATACGGCCTAGTATAAAAAAACTCACAGTTGTTGCCCCTCCCATCTTTCGCCTCTGGCCTCATCCACTTTTACCGCTGTCCCCCTGCTCCAACAGCTGGCATGCAGCCCCTTGAAAGTTGCCCATCATAGAAGGATGCCCTCAGGCTGAAATGGGCTCCCCACCACTGCGCTATTAATCTATATGGCAACACACTTCATAAAATCAAACATAAGATTATCTACATATCATCAACAGAACACACTGGATCCATTGGCGAACTTAGAAAACATTCTATCAGCTCACACAAAGCAGGATAAAGTGCTTGGTACATTAAATCATAGAGAGAGTTTTATGGGTCATGAAAGATCTACAAAGCGGTTCTGAAAGCAAAAAGCTGAAGGATCTGCCTGGGGTTAAGCACAGAAAATGTTTAACAATTTGCTAACAGCTTATGGCAGCAGCAGGGAACTTCTTTCAATCCAAGGGCAACATTCCTTTGTGGGGAACCTTCCAGGGACCGTACGCCATTGGTTGGAGAAGCCAGAGGCAGAAGTAGGTGGAGCGATGGATGTAACGCGTACCTTTGTACAATATGAATCTGAGGTTTATACACACACACACACCTCTCTCCACCCAAACAAGGAAGATGCATCACTACAGCTCAAGACCACATGACAATCAGGCAAAAGTTTTCAAGGAAGGCATGGAGCAGGACTGGCCTAGAGAAGGTCCCAAGAGATGCCTGCAAAGCCACATTTGGCCTCCAGGCCTGAGGTTCCCCAGCCCTGGTTTATAGAAAAATTAAAAGCATATTAGAAGACAGAACAACTGGTTGCTGGATTCACTGATGGCACAAGAAGCAAGATTGAAGTTAACAGCCAGGTAGATATGGGTTGTATGTTAAGAAAGTTCCTGACAATAGCAATTAAATATGTAGATTTTCAGGGAAAGGCTAGAAAGATCGTCAGACCTACATTAAGGTAGGTGAATCCATACATGGAGGACACCACATCCACACTAACAAACAATACAGTTCACCTGAAAAGATAAGGAAATGAGGCTCAAATGACATTCAGAGGCTCCCAACAAACCTTTCAAAATCTGAAAATCTTATCGCATTTGTCTGGATTGCTTTAGAGCAGTGCTCCACCTTATCAAACTTATCACATTAGGAGAACACTGTTTCATAATTCACAGCACACCAGAGCCTAATTATTCAATTACTACATCTGTATTTGTTTATATCAGTTATTTGTTAAATTTGCACCCCACCTTTCTGCCAAATGGTGCTCATTAATTACAGACAAGGAAAATATCTGGCCCATTCAAAATGCGTAAGAACAACTAGCATGTGGCTGTGCTTATAGAAATTACTCAAACTTTCCCTGTGCAAGTAATGTGTTCTTCTACTGATGAAATATTTCCTTTAGAGTGCATTGTTGGCCTGGCTTTCTGCTGTGGTAATAACTCCACTCGGTTTGGAGCCTGTCCAGTCACATATATCTGCTCCATTCATGGTGTTGCTGATGTAGTTTCTACTCCATTCTATTGATCCAGTGCCCTGCACACCTCTTGCCAACCACAAGCTTAAGGGCAATTCCGAAGAAGAATCTGATAGCCATACATTAAGGGAGACCAAGTCAGCAACCCGATACACGCTTACCAAGGAGTAAGTCAATAGGACCTGCATACAATGCAAAGGGACGACCAATAATAGGAATGCCTGTGGAAGACCTCCACAACCAAACAGCATCATTACCATCAAAGTAGTGAAGACTGATAGCAGAATAAATGGCAATAAGTTCCGTAACGTCACCTGTACAAGTGTTTAGCTTCTTCAAACCCCAAGTTGTTTCTCTGTATTTAAAACTTCAATAAAATATTTTAAAAGAAATCGATAGCATAAGTCACATTCTTGGACAATGCACACCTGCAATGTGGATCTTGTCCAACAAGTTCCTTACCTGCTAGGATCACACTGCTGCTGGCATTGTGACAGAGCCTATTTAATTCAGCATCCTATTCCCCACGGTGGTCAATGAGAAGCTTCTGAGAATCCTGTAAGCAAGACAAAGGGGCAATTGCCCTCTCCTGCTGTTGATCCCCAGCAACTGACATTCAGCGGCATGCTACCTTTGATTCTGGAAACAGTATTCGGATAACATGCCTAGTGGCCACCGAAAACCAATGACATATCCTCTGTGCAGGAGGGTAACAGTGCGTCCCTTGGTGAATAGGCCCCTTCTGGGATCTAATTCTCCTCATCCTCAGATTGATACCACAAACTTTTTCCAGGCCAACAACCTGGCCATCTAAGGGAACAAATTTGTCCCCCGAGAACCAGGAGCTCATTGTACCAAGCCCACACCTGTAATTTCTGTCCACCAGACAGGTACACTGGATAGCCTTCGTGCCCAGTGCTTGCTTTCTACCTTCACAACTGTTTGTTTATTAGGCTTGTTCACGTGCAAAGTTGGGGTCTGTAAGATGGGTTACCTCTTCTTGGAAAGGGCCTTAACTTGCCCATTTGCTAAACTGTTTGCCTTGACACTTTGTCAGCTGCGGCTTCCCTTAAGCACAGTGAAGTACAGTCTCTCATAAGCTTGCCTTACTTTTATACCCCTGGATACCTCCCCACAACCTCTGCTTACCACCAGTTAGATTAAGAGGACCTCATTTAAAAATAAGAGTGTGATCTACTGAGCTGCTGACACCTGTGATTAGAAATTTAAAGGGGGCTTTAGGTCAGCTGAGTCCTGTGGGGATAGTGATTTTTATCAAAGCAGAGGACAATGAATGGCAATTACATAGAGCATCTCTGCGAATGCAAGGGTCTGACTCAATGTACTCTTATTCAAACTCACACCCTAGATTTTAACACTGAACTAAACACTGAGCTTTTAAATGGAACTGAGGTCTACACCTCCACTTCAGTTTGTAAACTGCATTTAAAGCCTAATTTGAGTTTAGGCTGAGCTTGAACTGATGGCTACATTTTTCGTTTATAAACAGAGGTTTCCACAAGCTAGGACCGAAACATTGTATGCAGTGCTGATACTGTAGTGCATAACAGGAGAATAAAGAGAGGCAACAGTAGGTAACCATCATAATCATCATATGAGCAGAACAAACTGGGCCATTTTGACAGCCACAGGACTCCCCAGGGATGCACTAAGGATTCAGTGAATCGTCTGAGAGCACATAAGTGAACAGTTAACACTTGCATGTATCTCTTGCAAATTGTTTGCCTGAGCTTGTAGGAGGTGGGAAATGTAAATGCCAGTACAGTACTGAACTTCACTCATTCAGTCCAAGTCCCTGGGACTGAGCTATTCATATGCAATTAAGTCAGTTTCAGCATTTTGTACACTTAAAAGTCCACTACAACACACATTACAAGCAAGGCCAGAATTTAGCCCTGAAACTTTGGTTTTGTCAATAGAATAAGATGGTCTCACAGCTTGTAAAGGTAAAGGGACCCCTGACCATTAGGTCCAGTCGTGACCAACTCTGAGGTTGCGGCGCTCATCTCACTTTATTGGCCGAGGGAGCTGGCGTACAGCTTCCAGGTCATGTGGCCAGCATGACTAAGCCGCTTCTGGCGAACCAGAGCAGCGCATGCAAACACCTGAGGAGCTTACAAAATTTGAAGATGGAAAAGGGAGTCATGATACTTTGATAACATAAAATTAGCTGCAAGTGGCGACCACCCTACCCAAATATGAAGTCACCTGCTCTTTGGATAATGCAGGAATGTCAATTCTCACTCCATAACCAAAGTTAGCCAGACAATTTATCAAGAGAGAAGGGTATTCAGGAATCACAAAGGAAAGGAACAGCACAGAAGCTATAACTGGGGGAAACTATTCTTCCTTAGCAATGATCTTTTTATTTGAAGACTCAATATTAAATTATGCAAATAACTAGGATGTAGTGAAGGAATCACTGTGTGACTTAAAAGGTAAAAGCTATTTGGCCAGACCATGGTCCAACAGCAAGATCATCACTACCTAGAGAGAAAAATCTTTTTTCCAGGAAATGGTCACTGCTATCTCACTTACAGTGTCAAAGAGGCTGTCATCATGCCAAACCAAATCATCCCTTGGAGACGTCACCCTTTTCTCCTCTTTGTTTGAATCCAGCTGAAACTGTTGCATCACTGTCTGCAACCATTCATCCAGGAGTGTTGCTAGGTACCTCAGGGGCACAGGCCCACAACACAAATGGCAGTCAGCTGTGCTTCTCTGCTGCCACACACAGGATCACACTTTGCACATATCCCTGCACAGACAAAGTAAGTTTGGGCTGCCATTGCAAAAGGGGCAATCTGCTCTGCAATGGCTGCTGCACATGACGAGGGCGGGCCAGCCCTGCCAAGAGGCAGATTGAGGCAGAACGTCACCTCAGGAGGCTGATTTGGAGTGTAATAAAAGGGCCAGAAACAGTTGCAGTGGTACCTCAGGTTAAGTACTTAATTCGTTGCGGAGGTCCGTTCTTAACCTGAAACTGTTCTTAACCTGAAGCACCATTTTAGCTAATGGGGCCTCCTGCTGCTGCTGCGCTGCTGGAGCACGATTTCTGTTCTCATCCTGAAGCAAAGTTCTTAACCTGAGGTACTATTTATGGGTTAGCGGAGTCTGTAACCTGAAGTGTATGTAACCCGAGGCACCACTGTATTTGTTTATTGTGGTTTTTGTATTGCCAGGGCCCCTGAGGAATTTTCTTCCCAAGCTGCCAAATAACTCCATTGGCATTGGGTACCACATGCCGCTTGAGGCCCCAACTGGCTGCTTATGAACAACTGCCCCTAGATTTCCTTTGTGGAGTTCAACCTTGCAAAGGCTGCTCAGATGCAATGGAGAGAAAGGCTGCTATCCCTGGACTCTCCACAGCATCTGAGCAAGACTTTTAGGGCCTTTATGTATTTCATTTATTTATTAAATTTGCATACCGCCCTATACCAGCAGGTCCTCTTCCTTTGCAGAGGAAGGAATTTCAACAGGTGCACCTTGTCAGGCTTCAGGCCCTTCCCCTCCAAACAACCAAGGAGCCACGGCCGCGCTTTCTTGCGCCCCGTTACCTGCAGGAGGCAGTGGCCGGCCGGGGCGTGCTCGGCCAGGCTGGCGTTGTAGACCTGGTGCTGGAAGACGGGCTCGTTGTCGTTGGCATCCTCCACGGCGACGCTGACGACGCACGAGGCGGAGAGCGGCGGCTCGCCTAGGTCCCTGGCCAGCACCAGCAGCTCCAGCGCCGCTTGGCGCTCGTGGTCCAGAGGCGCCCGGAGGCTGAGGGCGCCGCTGAGCGGGTCGAGCTGGAAGAGCGCGGCGGGCGCCTGGTGGGGGCCCAGCGCGTAGCGCACCTGGGCGTTGCGCGAGCCCGGCTCGTCGGCGTCGGCGGCGCTGAGGCGCAGCAGCACGGTGCCCGGCGAGGCGGCCTCGGAGACGGCGGCCCGGTAGCGCGGCTGCGCGAAGGCGGGCGCCTGGTCGTTGAGGTCGGCCACGCGGAGGAGCAGCGCCCGCTGCGAGGAGAGGGGCGGCGCGCCCCAGTCGACGGCCACCAGGCGGAGCTCGTAGGCGTCGCGCCTCTCGCGGTCCAGGGGCCCCTCGACGCACAGGAAGAAGACGCCGCCGTCGCCGCCCGAAGGCCGCAGCGAGAAGGCGCCGCCGCCGCCCTGCAGGCTCAGCGCCACGCCGCCCGGCTCGTCCGGGTCCGAGACGGACACGCGGGCCACGTAGTCTCCCGGCTGCGCGCCCTCGGACACGCTGGCGCCGCCCTCGGTGAGGTAGAGCAGCTGGATGGTGGGCGCGTTGTCGTTCACGTCCAGCACCTCGACGGCCACCAGGGCCGTGGCCAGCTCGGGCTGGGCGCCGCCGTCGCGGGCTTCCACGGCCAGGCGGTGGAGGGCGCGGGCCTCGCGGTCCAGAGGGCGCCGCAGGCGCAGCAGCCCGCTGCGCTCGTCCACCTCGAAGAAGGAGGCGGCCGAGGGGTCGCCCTGGCGGCGGGCCAGGCTGTAGCGCACCTCGCCGTTGGCGCCCAGGTCCGGGTCGCTGGCCCAGACGCGGCACACGGAGCTGCCCACGGGCGCGTCCTCCCGCACGCGCGCGCGGTACTCGCTCTGCCCGAAGGCGGGCGCGTTGTCGTTCTCGTCCACCACCTGGATCTCCACGCGCAGGCGGCCGCTCCGACGAGGGCTTCCGCCGTCCCAAGCCTCGACCAGCAGGCGGTGCGTCTCCGCCCGCTCCCGGTCCAGGCGGCGCAGCAGCACCAGGTCCAGGGTATCCGGCGGGGTCCCGTAGCGCAGCTGGAAAAGCGGACCTTTCTCCCGATCCTGGTCCTGATCCAGCGGCAGCAGCGAGTAGCCCTGCGTGCCGAAGCTGTCTGCGTCGGGATCGCGCGCAGCGGGCAAGCGGAAGGCGCTGCCGGGCGGGCTCAGCTCGGAGATGTTGAGGCGCACCCAGTCCCGCGGGAAGCGCGGCGCGTGGTCGTTCACGTCGCTGACCCTGATCTCCACCTGCACCATCTCCCCCCGCAGCGTGGCCGCCACGAAGCTGTAGCGCGCCCGGCGCTCTCGGTCCAGCAGCCGCGCCGTGCGGATGATGCCCGTGTCCGTGTGCACGTGGAAATCCGCCAACACGGCTGACTCGCCGCTGCCTTCCGAGAGGAAGAAGCCGCCGGGGTGCCCTTCGCCGGGGGGCAGCCCTGCGCTGATGTCCCCCACCAGCGTGTCCGCGGGCAGCCCTTCGTCCACCGCCAGGCTGAGCTTATACACCTGTCCCCTGCAGCTCCCCGCAGCGCACACGCAGAGCCAGAGGGGGATCAGCCACTCCCGGGCCCTCCTCCGGCACCCCCTTCTGCCCCCGGGGGCAGGTGGCCGGGGCTCCATGCTCCTCTCACGCCGCCCGTCTCACCAGCAAACCCAGCCAGGGTCCCGGGGGGTGGCTTCTTCCTGGGCGCAGCGAGCCTTCTTCCCAGCAGGCAGGCGCGCCTGTGGCTGAGCCAAGTCACAGTGACCACAGCCGGTGCCGGGCGCTCCTTTGCTCCTTGGCCGCTTTTCTTATGCCTTGCCCAGCTTCGACCGGCCTCATCGTTTGCAATCAGGTGCTCTGCAGCCCTTCTGCTCCTCTAGAAAGAAACCTCCTTCCTCACCTTCCTTTCCAGCACACCCATAAAAGTTCAGGCTGGGAATAACAAGTGCCCGAGGCAGCCAGGAGAGAGGACAGCTCCCTGCCTTTTTGCTCAGGCTGCTGCTGCTGCTGCTGGCTTCTGCTTGCTGCTGCTGCTGCTGCAGCCTTGCTCCGGCTGCTCCCCTCCGCGTCTCTGAGCTGCTAACACACCCCCTCCCCATGTGACAGCAGGCAAGGGCAAACTCCGCGCCTGGGAGAAACGGCGACAGCCACTTTGCAGCAGGGGGCTGTCCCTAATTACCCAGCCGGGAGCAGCGTGACGCCCGGGGGGGGGGCAGGCGCCCAGCCGGTGAGCAGGCAAACCCCAGCTCATAATAATAGCAACGCAAACGCGAGCCGGATCCCCCCTGGATCCCCCCTCTGCGAAGCAATGGTGTGGAATACTAACAAAGCAGCGGTAGGTCTGTAGTCATTCCTGAGCCCATTAGGAACTTATGGATTAGGTAGGAAATGATGGCATGTGAAGGTACGTTGCACTGGCTGGAGAAATGTACCCTCTCTGCACACACTGTACATACACTCCATGAATTTCCTGTGCACAACCAGTTTATTGAATCATCACTATTATTAACATTTGTAAAGCACTTTCAAGGATTCAAAGCATTTTAGATGCCTTGGCTAGTTACTAGCCTTAACAATAGCCCTGTAAGCCAATTTAGAGGAGGGAGAGGAGAGGGCTATACTTACATTCTTGTAAGATTGAATACTGGGGATGGGCTGCCTGGAGCAACAGAACATCTGCTTCTATGCAGAAGGTCCCAAGGTTGGCCAATCCCTGGCACCTCCAGGTAAGGCTAGAAGACAACCTGACCTGAAACCTGGATGAGCTGTTGCCAAGATGGCAGTGTTGACTTGGGGAGAATATATGGGATTCGTAGAAAAGGAGTTTTCAAAATATGGCATTCAGTGGTGGGAAGAAATATTGTGACGCTCCAGGTAAGAATCTGGCTCTGAGCAGCTTCTATTAATGAACTACAGTGGTACCTCGGGTTAAGAACTTAATTTGTTCTGGAGGTCCGTTCTTAACCTGAAACTGTTCTTAACCTGAAGCACCACTTTAGCTAATGGCCTCTGTGCCGCTGCTGCACGATTTCTGTTCTCATCCTGAAGCAAAGTTCTTAACCTGAGGTACTATTTATGGGTTAGCGGAGTCTGTAACCTGAAGCATATGTAACCCGAGGAACCACTGTACAGTGGTACCTCTGGTTATGTACTTAATTCGTTTCGGAGGTCCATTATTAACCTGAAACTATTCTTAACCTGAGACACCACTTTAGCTAATGGAGCCTCCCACTGCTGCCGCGCCACCGCCGTGCAATTTCTGTTCTCATCCTGAAGCAAAGTTCTTAACCCGAGGTACTATTTCTGGGTTAGCGGAGTAACCTGTAACCTGAAGCATATGTAACCTGAAGCATATGTAACCCGAGGTACCACTTTATACTCAGCTGCTTTTGCTGGTGAAGAATGTGAAAAATCCTATTACACCTTGGGAGTTGTATCACTGCCTAGTAGTAGAGCATCTATTTTACATGCAGAAGGTTTCAAGTCCAATCTCTAGCATCCCCAGGTAGGGTTTGGGATATTCCTTGCCTGAAACCCTGAATAACTGCAGCCAGTCATTGTTGAGCACCCTGCATTAGAAGGTCCTGTGATCTGATGGTGTAAGGCAGCTTCTTACAGTATTAATCCCCATATTGTGGATGTGGAGACTGAGGCTCACAGAGTGGCTCACGTAGCGCCACCTAGTGAGTTCATGCCAGAGGCGACATTTGAACCAGGGACTTCCACTATGTCTAATAATAATAATAATAATTTATTTATACCTGGCCCATCTGGCTGGGCTTCCCCAGCCACTCTGGGCCGCTTCCAACCAAATATTAAAATACAGTAATACATCAAACATTAAAAGCTTCCCTAAACAGGGCTGCCTTCAGATGTCTTCTAAAAGTTTGGTAGTAGTTCTCTTTGACATCTGGTGGGAGGGCGTTCCACAGGGCGGGCGCCACTACCAAGAAGGCCCTCTGCCTGGTTCCCTGTAATTTGGCTTCTCGCAGTGAGGGAACCGCCAGAAGGCCATCGGCGCTGGACCTCAGTGTCCAGGCAGAATAATGGGGGTTCCTTCAGGTATACTGGACCGAGGCCATTTAGGGCTTTAAATATCAGTTCATTTAAAAAAACAAGATGTAGGTTAAATGTTTAGCCTTTGATTGGGCTATTTGTGCTTTAAGCTCACATCTCTTAATTAATTCTGCTGGAGAAAAAGCCACACTTAATATTAGCTATGTGAAGGTTTCTAACCGTCTCTGAGTCCCGTCCCGTCCCGTCCCCCGTCCCCCCGGTACTTCAATTTCATTGAGATGTAGTTGGTCTGTGATTTCTAATCCTCCAGACTAAGCATGTCCATAACGATAAGAATCTTGCATTTTTAATATAACCTCTCAACCACATCGAAGCCAAAGCACTTTACAAATTTTATTAAATCATTGTACAAAGCCATTAGCAGACTCAAACTGCAGCTCCCTCCCATAGTTAAGATCTCTTCCATCCTTTTAAGTGATTAATGTGGCCCATATTGGCATGGTTTATTTATGAAAACCCTAGAAAGAGAAACTCCTGCTGAGGATCCGAAACTGCACACTGAGGTAAGTGTGATATAACAGTATAGTTAACCGAATAATAGTCCAAACCACATAAAGAGAATATATGTTCCCCAGCTGGGAAATTACAATACTTTAAAAGGAGGGGGGGGTTTTAGGGGAGGGTTCTGCTTGTACAAACACACCATTGCAAAATTATGCGTTCTGTAATATTAGACTGCCATTGCAAGCCCTGTAGTCCTTAAGTGCGTGAATGATGCTTCATTACAGTAATTAGTTCATTCAGCCTTGCTAGTACAGGTTGTAGTCCCATTTTAGAGATGGGAAACTGAGGTCAAAGTTGCTGCCCTTTGCACATTTCTGGGAAGTAAATTCAGTTAACATTGGCAGGACTTGCTGCTGAGTGAATGTGCTTAAGTTTGGGTGGCAAGGGATTTAAAATGCAGCAGGAGGAGTATCAGGAAGAGTGGATTAAATTTAATGATTATTTAGTTAAATATGATAAGTTAAATTAACTGGAAACAGCTTGCAGATAATTGGCTTAGGATTTTATTTATGTTAAGTGATGAATTAATATGTTTAATTTCATAAAGTGAAGATTTAAGGATGTTAACGTTTAAGTTAAATTTTTTAAGAATTGTGATTTGGGAAAACCGTTAAAAGGATATGCAATGAAATTCAACCAAGGGGAAGTGGGGGAGTCACTTAACAAAGTTAATAAGTGTAATTTTCAATAAGGCTATGATTTATGTTTGTTTGTCTTATGTGTCTGTTTGTTTATAATATTGTGAAAACCAATAAAAAAAATTTGAGAATAAAAAATAAAATGCAGACGTCTGTAGCGCAAATCCATTGTAGCAACTTGTCAATATTGTGTGTTATGCTGTGTGTTGCATAACTCTGTCATATTTTCATGAACAATTGAAAATAAATATGATCCATCCTACACATTTTGTTGACCAGAGATAACTTTCTGGAAGTACCAAAGAAGGTATGTACGAATGGAGAACTGCTGCATATCAGTCCAGGCAATACAGAGCTAAATGAGCCAGCCTCCTGTTTTCCTATCAGAGCTTCCTGAGAGTAGATGCGCACACACACTTTGACAGACTGTAGCATAGCACGCTGGGCAATGATTGCTCGTTCTTTTAAAAGGCAAGCGGTTATTTGGTTCACTCTAATCAGAAGATACGGGTAGCTTGTAAGGCAGAGGGCATTGCAAATAAAGTCCTTATATTAGAAAGGTGGGCAATCCGTTTTAGATGGTACAGAGTCAATATAAGTAAAAAAATTACTTTATAGTTGGAGAACATATTTTCCCCTCAAGACAAATCCCACCACCAGGTGATGGAAGATTATATCCCTTCAGTTCTCCCGGTTTGTCTCTTGTACAGCTAAATCTGATATTTTCCCAAGGTCAGTAGACATTGTAAAGCATTATAGGGAAGCATTTACTAGCAATAATAGCCACATTAAGTGAAATCCAATAACTAACACAGTCCTTTTCTTCTACATTGGTTTTCAAATCCTGGGTAGGATTCAGTAAAAATGATTGCCTTGTGTGAGTTGTTGTTTATATCAAAATATAATTTTAAGAACATTGATTTAGGGAATTATTTCCTATTTATGTGCCACATATATGTGCTACAAATTTCCCATTTATGTGCTACATATACAGCACATTCAGAAATGGCTGCATTAGCTCCAGATACTTTATTATCCTTTCCAGACACACCACACACATTGGGGTGCAAGCATTCCTCCTTTCTCTGGTTTTGCTCCCATTGCCTTGGGAGTGGAGATCCATCTTTAAAATGCAATGCAATTGAACGCCAGTTGCACCTATAAATAAATATAGTGGCAGGATCCAAAGTTAAGATGAGTTCAGTGATTTAAATTAGGAATATAGAAAACTGCCATATACTGAGTCAAGCTATTGGCTAGTCCAATTCAGTACTGACTACATTGAATAACAGTGACTGACCAGAGTATCTTTCTGAGCCCTTTCAGGATTTGAATCTCACAAAGCATGTTTTTTGTTTGAGGAATGGTTTTCTGGAATCCATGTAGACTGAATACTTGTTTTTTTTCTACCTATATCT